AGAAATGGAAAAAATGGAAATAAAGTCTTTGTAAATAGGGAAGGGTGGAGGGGGTGAAGGGAGGGCTAGGAATAGGGAAAAAATAAGAACCAACATGCATTATGTAAAGGTACAATTCCCAATGAGAAATGTAATTGTGCTGTATACCTACAATGTACCAATAAAAGAATAAAATTTAAAAAAAAAAGAAATTCCAACCCACCCCTTCCCCTGAAGGTATCTTCCCAAAAGACTTAAAGACAGCATATTTCAGTGATTCATGCATACTCTCGTTTATAACAGCACAATTCATAGTAGTTAAATTGTAGAAGCAGCCTATATATCCGTCAACAGATGAATGAACAAAGTGTGGTATTTATACATAATGGAGTACCACTGTACTATAAAGATAAACTTTAGTCATTTGTAGGAAAATGGATGCACCTTGAATCCATGATGTTAAGCGAAATAAATCAGACACACAAGCTTAAAAATTGTAAGGTTTCTCTTATATGAAAAACTCAAAGTGATCCCTCCCGCCACTCCCGGCCCAGAGGAAAGGCCTTTTAGGCTTCTGTCTGTCCCACCGCTCCCGGCCCAGAGGAAAGGGGTTTGGGGCCGCCATCTGTCCTGCTGCTTCTGACCCAGAGGTAGGGGCTTCTGAGCCACCATCCCACTGCTCCTGGTCCAGAGGAAGGGGCTTCCCAGCCACCATCCCTCCTGCCACTCCCATCCCAGAGGAAAGGACTTTTGGGCTGCCTTCCATCCCGCCACTCCCAGCACACAGGAAAGGGTTTTTGGGCCACCATCTGTCCCACTGCTCTCTACCCAGAGGAAGGGAATTCTGGGTCACCATCCCTCCTGCTGCTCCCGGCCCCTGCCCCACCTCTCCCAGCTCAGAGGAGGTGAGCAGCGCGGGTGCCAACAGCACCTACCCTGCCCCTGAGTCAAAATGAGAAGACAGGTAAATAAGTCTCAAAACCAGAACTCCAGATCACCTACAGCAACCCCAAAGGGAAATGAGATGGAACACTCAGATACTCAACCACCTGGACCCAATGAACTGGCAACAAAAGAGGATCTGGAAAAAATGAAATCAGAAGTAATTTCTCAGATAACAGGAGAAATTGTGCCCCTAGTGCAAGACATGATCAAAAGTCTAGAGAGGAGCTGAGGAACATGATGGAATCCCAACATA